GGTGTGTTTCGCCGCTGTTTCTCAGCTTTTCCAGCTCCGTCATCAGCTCTCTCATTTTCATTCGCTCTTTTGGCTTGTAATCCGGCAGAAAAAAACTTCAGGATGCTGACCCCGTAGAGATGATTTTCTCTGTAACAGGAGCTGGGCCTGTGCTTCAGTCTCCAAAATGACTTTTAGGGGTCGAGGCCGGGAATTTGAACCGGATGCTGACTGACTCTTCCCTATTCGGAATGCTTTGAGAACACGTAGTGACTCATCGTCTCTTAACATACACTTGAAGAAGGTCTAAGTCATGCTTAACTCTCTCCTTTGGAATTGTTGCCGTTGATTCGGGTACTACCTTTATAACTACATTTTGCTTGTAACTGAATCTAGTGCTCGTTGTTGTCGCACATCTTTTGAGTGACTAAGCGTTCTTCTCCAGTTTACTCGTTTCGCTGGTTTCGGATGAACTAGCTATTGAGCTAGCGAAACTGAGATCCGTGTACGATTCATTTATCTTCCTGTTGATAACCCTTCCTTCTGTGTTTCCGAGGTGTTCGTCGAAAAATTTTACCTCAGTTTCTTTTGAAGCCTCCTCCTTAATATTCGGTCCACAAAGTGTTCCGATATCTTTATTGTTTAACATATTTGGGAGCCTCCGGTGATCCTTCATAGGCCTCCTGGTCGTTCTCCTTTGCTGGTCTGCGTATACGTAAGCGGCCTTCGTTTTTTGGACCGTACAGAGGTGCGCGTTGTTGTTCTGGGATGTTTCTTAGTTCTCTGACTTCGCTTTGGTTGGTCTTTTTCTCTCCCAAAAGAATGGCATTCAACTGTGTCTGGTTCCCTGGACGAACCATCGTCAGTTTCAGCGTTTAATATGGCTAAAGAAGCCGTAGTTGCATATGTTTTTTTCAGATTCTGGATTGCCGAATTCGTCGGCTTCTTCTCTTCACGTAAGTGGTGAGTAAGCTTCCTTAACTTTTTTACTTCCATTTTTAGACCTTTTAACTCCCCCTCCATCTTTGAAAACGTATGGATGAGTCCGAAACATGTGCCACAGATTTCATCGTCGTATGTGACATCTCCCAACGTCATTAGACTTTTTGCTCGTTTTACGGGCATTGGTCTGACAGCAGAACGTCCAACACTACAGTCACTAATATCATGCGTAATACAAGATGTATTATTAGTTTTGACGAAGTTGGCGCGAGTTAGTGGCTTAATGGTAACGACGCTTGTCTGTCCGAGCGATGGACCAGGTTAGAATCCCGCCTTGGGCATGCATCACCATGTTTTGAGGACATTTCTCTGAATAACATTACCGAGTTTACAAGTTTCAAACGTTTTCTTAAAGGTATGAGACGCATTTTCAACCAGATCAAAGATATGAGGTAAAAGACTCAGCCTTTCGTAGGTTTTGGAGATTGCTCAGTGCTGTTGCAGAGAGGCGACTGGACGAAGATAGGTTATCCCTCACAAGTCCTGGTGTGGTCGAAAGAAGATAGGTTTTCCGAACGAGACTCCCGTTGAAATTCAGTGAGAATCGAGATATTGCTATGAAGAACCGAACTGTTAATTCCGAGAGGCCGTCAGGGTGTCCAGGACATAGTAGACTCGGAAAAGTTAAATCCCTGGGAGGTCGAAAATTTCAAACCGAATTCAAAAGACGCGCTGGCATCTGCTATGTCTCCGGTCACGATTCTAACACACAGAGACGGTGCAGACACCGCAAGATTTCGTCTTTTAGAACGTGCTCTGCGGGGCGTTACAGACGAGATAAGCTTTTCGTTGCAGTACAAGGTTCAAAGCGTTGTTAACGTTCCATCCTTGAAAACCTACTCCAGGACTTGTGAGGGTTAACCTATCTTTGTCCAGTCGCCTCTCTGCAACAGCACTGAGATATCTCCGAAACCTACGAAAGGCTGAGTCGTTTACCTCATCTCTTTGATCTGGTTGAAAATGCGTCTCATGTGCATTGAGGCCTCAAGGTCAACTCCGACTCCCGTTTTAAGTGGTGTACCCCAGGGCTCCGTCTTAGGGCCGTTGCTATTCCTGGTTTACATTAACGACTGCGTCGACGGCCTGGGATGCAGCGCCATCATGTTTGCTGACGATGTTAAGCTGTGGAGATCCATCAGATCTGATGCAGACAGGTACGCGCTTCAAGACAGTCTCAACCGCCTAAACAGTTGGTCAGCTCGCTGGCTCCTCAATTTTAATGTGAACAAATGTGTAGTCCTGAGACTCCGCACCAGACAGACCAGTAAGGAGGACGATTCCTTTCAATATGTCCTTGGTGGTCAGTCCCTTTCAAATGTTGTGGAACAGAAGGACCTGGGAGTCCTAATGACCTCCTCGCTGAAACCATCTTCACAGTGTCAAAGGGCAGCCAAAAGTGCGATAAGGTTGTTATTTGCGCTGAGGCGAGGATTTGTGCAGATCGACAAGGAGCTGTTCGGAAAAACCTATGGGGCATTCGTCCGGTCTCACTTAGAGTATGCAGTCCAGGCCTGGCGACCGTGGTTAAAGAAAGATTATCAAAGACTGGAAAGAGTACAGGCGATGGCTACGAAGATGGTCAAGAATCTTCATCATTTGCCTTACGAAACCAGGCTGACTGAACTAAACCTGTTTCCTCTAAATTACAGGCAACTGCGCGGCGATCTCATTCAAACCTACAGGATTGTCAGAAGCCGAGAGTGTGCCCTAGATTTTGATGAATTCTTTGAATTGGCCCGGACTGACCGTCTGCGTGGTCATCCGTTCAAACTGCAAAGGAAGCGGGCTAATTCGGACGTCCGACGGAACGCCTTCTCACACAGGGTCATCGGGGCATGGAATGGACTCCCTGATGCCGTCGTTCTTTCCGAAAGTGTTAAATACTTTAAGTGCAGACTAGACGCTCACTTGTTGAGAACCTACTGTACATACAATCATGATTGTTTTAGCGGCGGCAGTTTGCGCCTGGCTCACACTTACCGCTAACTTCTTAACTTTTCGCATTTGCTGATGTAATTGATGACTTTATTTCTGTTTATCGACATGAATAGGGTGCTCAAGGGCGAAAGCCTCATTCCATTAATAAACTGACTTAAACTGACTTACCTTTCAGAAAACCGTTTGAGACTTGTAAAGTCGTTGTTGTAATTCAGAGAAATGCCCTCAAAATACGGTGTAAAATGTTCGCCCCAGGCGTTATTCGAACCCGGGCAGTCGCTCGGCCAGAAAACCGTCATAACCACTAAGCCACTGACACGCGCCAGTGTCGCCAAAACAAATAATACATCATGTATTACGCATGATATTAATGACTGAGTTGTTGGACGTTCTGCAGTCAGACCAATGCACGTAAAAGGGGCAAAATTTTTAGTGACGTTGGCGGATGTCACATACGACGATGAAATCTGTACCACATGTTTCGGACTCATCCATAAATTTTTGAAAATGGAGGGGGAGTAAAAAGTATAAAAATGGAAGTAGAAGAGGTAAGGAAGCTTACTCACCACTTGCGTGAAGAGAAGAAACCGACGAATTCGGCAATCCAGAGTCCGAAATAATACATATAGATCGATAGATAATTTTTATTAAAGACCCGTCGGGGTCCCATCAAAGCAAGTTAAAATAAATTTGCATGCGAGATTTAGACGAGGTAGGCCGAATCTTTACAAAATGCAATTCCTTGTTTCTGAATTAGAAGTCCATTGAGAAACATGATGATTGAGGGGTGAAAAAACTCCTTACAAAAAGTTAAAAATGATTGAATTAATTTTACAGGAGAAAAAAAAACCATCCATAAAAATAAAAACAGAAAAAAGCGAGCAGGACTGGCCTGTAGGTGGCGGTATATAACGGAATGTTGTCGGTCATCGTCAGGGTAGCAATAAATGTCAGCCTTGATGGGTACGAATGTGGGTCAGACAGGACTGGTTTGCAAATGGCATTGTATACGGGATTCACAATTGAGATCGTCTGGGCCGGATTGGTACGCCGCGTCAAAGAGGCCAGACGAGAGGAACCGAGATGCGATCGGCCACAGCACGCTTCGAGCTCAGCCGAGCAGTGAGGAAGGGAGGTACGACAGAACTACTAGTAGACAGTGAAGACTGAGGGTTCCGCCGTGAGCGTCGACAGACCGCATGAGGTCGGAATGCGGGAGATGACATCAAAAACCGCGAAAATTGTCGCTATGGGGGGGGGAAGGTAGTGTGTAAATGGTAGTGTGGTCGACACGATAAAGATTCCCAATCAAAAGTCAGGGAAGACGGTTTGAGTTGGACAACCTTTACTGCCTGAGGAAGGGCGTACACAAGGGCTCTGTAGGCAGTCGCCGCGAGCGCGCTCCAAGCAAGCTGTTGTCTGTGTCCGACCTCAGGGTGTTCTCTGAACGCGTATGTGCGCCCTTCGTTGTCTCCACGTCGCCAGCCAATCAGAGTGGGGACAGCGTTGATCGGCTTCGAGTACTCGCGCGTCCCAGCAGCGTATCGGCACGGAGTGTGAGGCGGACAGGACGGCAGCGTGACAAAGGCGGAGGGCGAGGAGACGCTAACTGCCACAGAACGAGTAAGGTGTTGTTTAAGGACTGCACCTACGGCTACGGTCGAGGCATCTACCATCAGAGACAGCTAAGCTTCAGGAGCGGGATGTGTAAGTAAGGTGGCATCGGCAACGGAATTCTTGATTCTCTCAAATGCAGTCAGTGCTTCACCAGTCAGCTCGAGGGGACCTTTGGGACCAGAAAGCATGTTGGTGAGCGGCAGCATGAGGTCAGCACATTTCAATAGGAACCGACGGTAAAAATTGACCATGCCGAGGAATCGCTATAACTGACGCTTGGAAGTTGTAGGAGGAAAATTACGAACTCCTTCAGCCCTGGAGGGGAGAGGACGCAAACCTTCAGAGTCGACCTGATGGCTGAGGAACTAGAGTGAAGGCACACCCAACACGCACTTGGAGGGGTTGATGACAACGCCAGACTTGTCAAGACGGTCAAACACCAGGGCAAGATGCTCTTTGTGTACTTACTCATTTAGGCTGGCAACCAAGAGGTCATCATTGTAGGCGTACACAAAGGGTAGGCCACGTAAGACATGGTCGATGAACCTCTGGAACGTTTGGGCGGCATTACGAAGACCAAACGGCATGCGGACAAACAGTCCGAACGTTGTGGTGACGGCGGTTTTAGGGATGTCCTCAGGAGCGACTGGAATCTGATGAAAAGCACACACCAGATCAATTTTCGAGAAATCCGCTTTGCCGAAAAGGGCTCCAGCAAAGTCCTGAAGATGAGGCACGGGGTACCGATCAGGAATGGTAGCGCTGTTGAGGGCTCTATAGTCACCACAGGGTCGCCAGTCGCCTGATGTTGCCTTGGGCACCATGTGCAGTGGGGACGTCCAAGGGCTTTAGAACGGTCGAATTATTCCCAGTTGCAGCATGTGTTTAAACTCCGCCTTTGCGGCCTGAAAACGTTTCGGTGCTAGTCGTCTCGGTCGAGCAAACACAGGAGGACCTGAGGTGCGGATATGGTGCACAACATCAAGTTGAACCTCACCACTGCGAAACTGGAGGTTAATTATTTTGGGGTGACTAAACAGCAACTTCCGAAAAGGACTAGCAATATCTGTATCCAGGACAGATAAGTTGGTGGGGACAGTAAAGGGAGTTAGTCCACGAATAAACAGACCGGTTGTGCGGTCTAGGAGACGGGCACGTCGACAGTCAACAAGTAGATCAAACTCGGCAAGAAAGTCCGAGCCGAGGATTGCATGAGGGACATCAGCAATCACAAAGATCCAAGTAAACGACCGACGAAGGCCAGTGTTCAGTGTGAGGGACAGACTGCCAAAAGTGGGAATGGAGGAACAGTTGACAGCTTGGAGGTGCAGACCAGGGCTAGGAAAACGGCGATCAGCTGCAGTTGGGGGAACAAAGCTGATTTGGGCTCCAGTGTCCACCAGGAAACGTCTGCGAGTCGCAGTGTCGCAAACATAGAAGGTGCGACCAGAGCCAGAAGAGGTTTCGGGAAGACTGGCTGCACTGACCTTCGGGTTGACCGGTTTTACCCGTTTGCTGTGCTTGGAGGTGAAGGAGCAGGGAAAGATGCAGCGACGGACTTTAACACCAAAGGTAGTGTGGTACCAGCAGATGGCAGCTGCGTTTGGACGGGCTGAATGCGAAGACTGGAGATGCGGGGTGGACGGCTTCGGTTGGCTCCGAAGCGAGAGGGAGACTGTCTGCTTCTGGAGTGAAGCTATGTCATCGGCCAGCCTGCTGAGCTCTAGCTCCAACTGTGAAAGGGGAGACGCAGGATGAGTTGAGGGAAATGAGAGTGCTGAAAGTGACGGCTTGGAAAAGCCGTGCATCTCTATAAGACGATCAGCCATCAGAGTAAGTTGCGTTGCCGAAAGAATGCCGGAGGCGGGTACCAAAATATGCTGCACTTCCGGTGGAAAGTTGTCCATGCTCAACCCTGGCTTTATCGTAGATTAGGAAGAAATATTGCTGTTCGCAAAGGGGTCACCAATTGTCGAAGGTAGTGTGGTCGACACGATAAAGATTCCCAATCAAAAGTCAGGGAAGACGGTTTGAGTTGGACAACCTTTACTGCCTGAGGAAGTGCGTACACAAGGGCTCTGTAGGCAGTCGCCGCGAGCGCGCTCCAAGCAAGCTGTTGTCTGTGTCCGACCTCAGGGAGTTCTCTGAACGCGTATGTGCGCCCTTCGCTGTCTCCACGTCGCCAGCCAATCAGAGTGGGGACAGCGTTGATTGGCTTCGAGTACTCGCGCGTCCCAGCAGCGTATCGGCACGGAGTGTGAGGCGGACAGGACGGCAGCGTGACAAAGGCGGAGGGCGAGGAGACACGACCTGCCACATATTCAACCACGGCTTCGTTAGCCATGTCAAACGCTGAAACTGACGACGGTTCGTCCAGGGAACTAGACATAGCTGAACGCCAGTCTCTTAGGCGAGAAAAAGGCCAGTCAAAGCTAACTCACAGAACAAGGAAACATACCAGAAAAAAACGTGCACCTCTGGACGGTCCAAAAAACGTAGGCCGCTTGCGTACGCGCAGACCAGCGGAGGACGACGACCAGGAGGCCTACGGAGGACCGCTGGAGGCTCCCACTATGTTAAACCATAAAGATATCGGTACATCTTGTGGACCGAGTATTCCGGAGGAGGCTTCGAACACCTCAGGAGCACAGAAGGAAGGGTTATCAACACGAAGATAAATGAATAGTACACGGATCTCAGGTTGTGGGGTATTATTTCAGATTCAGACTGTCGAGGAAAAACAGGGGACACATTTAATCAACCAAGCGTTTCTTGCAGAGCTGCAGAGACGTAGCCTCCACGACTGACTGAGGGAGGTCGTTCCATTTCTCCACTACCCTCTGCGTGAAGAATTCAGAAAGAAGATTCGGCCTGGGCATTGTTGTCCGTAACGCCATCGAGTGACCACGAAGATTGGGTGAAAGGTGTCACTGAAACATGTCCTCAAATTTGAGTCTATTCTCAGGGCCAGGTAATATCTTCTAGACGAGGATAAGATCACCTCTTTGCTGCCTGTAGACAGAGGGAATGAATTAAGGCAATTCAGTCTTTCTCTGTAGGATTGGCTTATTAGACAGTTTATCAGCTTTGTTGCACGGCGTTGTACATGTTCAAGGCATGCTTGGTCCTTTACTAGCCATTGCCGCCATGCTTGTGGACCATGTTCTAAGTGGGGCTGAACAAATGTTCTGTAAACTCTCCCAAAAAGGTCTTGGTCAAAGTTAACGAAAGCCCTTTTTATTGCATGCAGCGTTCCCATGGCGTTTTTTGCAGCCTTATGGCACTGCAGTGTTCGTTTCAGGTTGTTCTGTATCCAAACCCAGAGATCCTTCTATGAAGATTCTGCGGGGAGCCTTATATCTTTCAGGTGATATGTCCCTTGGCTCTCATTTCAATGAGGGTTGGTTGGACGCAGATGAAGGATGGCACACTTCTCTTATTGAAATCTAGAAGCCATTTCTCCGACCACGCTTGCAGTCGGTGCAGATTATCCGGAAGGGATTTCTGATCATTCGGTCCCTTAATGACTTTCCAGAGCTTAACGTCGTCTGCAAACAGTATTTTGCCGCACTCGAGTTCCTGAAGGCTGTCATTAGCATAAAGAATGAACACCGGCCGCAATGCCTCTCCCAAACACCAGTACTATATTGCCGGGACGCGGTTAGACGCTGTGGAAAGACTCAGAGGTCTGGGTGCATGGACGACCACAAATCTATCGCCATCAAAACACTCTAGAAAGATAGTTCAGAAGGCAAATAGTTCTGTGCACTGGATCAGACGTGCATGTAAAATATTTTCTCCCGTATTCTTCGAAAGACTGTTTGGTGCCTTTGTAAGAATTCATCTAATATATGGGGTGCCAGCAGCTTCACCATGCATGAGGAATAGAATAGAATAGGTTTATTGTAGCGCCCCTTAAGCACTGTCAGTCCCCTTTGAACTCAGGAAAAAAACCTAAAACAAACTCGTCAATTTCAACTGCACTTTGACTTCATTTGCTTCGGATGTCTGGTTAGCCAAAAGAGGGCGAATTGAAAGTTTGTGTTAAGTTAAAAAAACCTCAGTTCTAAGGGAAAATAATAACAAAATTTTCAAAAAATAACGGTATGTACAATATAAAAATTGAGGTTTGCAGTTTCGTAGTTTTCGGGGGCATGAATAATATGTCCTTCATGGCACTTGAAGAACTTTGATATCGGCCTGACCTTGAAATTATTTTCCTGTTGGGTAAATTTCGGTGTGCTCTAGTTGCTGGTTGTCAGTCTATCTGGCCAGCTGTAAGGGGGCGGTCGCACAGTTCCTACGTGTTTTTCAGGAGGCTTACCATTGTTGTCTGGACTAAGAGCAGGAAAAGATGAATATATATATCAGGAGTAAGAAGAATTCAGTGGTAAGTCACAATCAAAACTGTCAAAATACTATTGAATCATGTATCATATTGTGCTTGTTAATGTGAAATTATAGGAATAGTGGTCGACTGTTTACTATGACCTAATATACTTCTATATATGTTTAATATGGCTTTAATATAGACTTACGCACGACTGCAGAGTGGTCGAAGACCGTATTTATGATATAGTTCTAAGTATGAACCCTGGATGCCATCACTTCTAGACAAAGATCTAGTAAAACGTCTCTGAATGCCTTCTAGTTTCTTTCGGCCGTCTGAGGGCATTATGCCGAAGAAAATTGAACAGTAATCTAGGAGAGGTAAAACATACATTTTGAACAGTTGTATTCTAAGTGCATTTAAGGTGAAATTTTTACATATGAATCCACACAGGCGAGTGGCTTTCGGTGATATCTGTTGGACGTGGGGAGATAAATCGAGGGTATTTGTATAGCTGAGACCTAAATCTTTTACCGATTGGGCCTCTGTTATTTCATTATCCTCGAATATTATGGTGGGAAGTTTTTGTGGGCCAAATATCAGGAGATGGCATTTTTCGGGTTAAAAGGGCATCTGCCACTGACTACTCCATTCGCTGAGTTTTCTGAGATCAGTTTCAATTGTTCTATGAATATTGGCTACTGTATTCCCCTTATATGCATATGCAATTTTAAGGTCGTCCGCATATAAAAACGTCTTAGCTGAGACAGATATGGACGATAATTTGTGAATATATATATATATATAAGAAATAGAAGGGGGCCTAGGATAGTGCCTTGAAGTACTCCACTGGTAATAGTGGATGGTTCTGAAACGACGTTTCGAATTTGTACCACCTGGTATCGGTTTTGAAGATAAGATTTAAGAAAATCGAGAAGTGGTGGCCTTATTCCATGACAGGTCGGCCGCTCCCAAATTGTCTGCGTAGAAAGACTGCAATCAAGGCGCACATTCTTAGAGAGTGGAGTCTCACAAGGCTCGGTGCTCGGACCAATCCTCTTTCTCTTGTTTATCAATGATTGTGTTGATGGGTTGGACTGTGATAGTGCCATGTTTGCGGATGTCATAAAAATCTGGAAAGTCATCCAGAATGCTGCCGATCGGATCAACTTCCAAGAAAATCTTTGTCGATTGGACGAGTGGTCCCGCAGATGGCTCTTGTCCTTTAATTTGACCATATGTACCATACTGCGCCTCGGAAATCAGACCTCTAGTACGCGGCAATACCATCTGAACGGAATACCACTTAGAGAAACAGAAACGCAGAAAGATCTCGGAGTCTGGGCTGCAGACAGCCTAAAGCCTTCTACACAGTGTTGTAAGACGGCCAAGGCAGCAACCTCAATGCTATATGCCATCAAGCGGGCATTCGCAGTTTTCGATGAAGACTGCTTCTCCAAAGTCTTCAGAACGTTCTTAAGACCACAAATCGAA